TCGTCTGTTGTCTTTGCAAACCCTCCCTTTCTAACCCCGCCCAGACTTTCTGTGACTGTCCAATCACAGACTTTCCAATGCAGCTCAATAAGAAGTCTTTGCAAGGCAACTGCTGCCTCTTGAGTTTAGCTCCACTGAGCTACACAAACCAGGAAGTAGAATGACCTGTTGTCTGCTTGAAAGCCAGGGGGTGTAACCAGGTTAAATTATAAAAGAAGAAACAATTTCTAGTGAAATCTGCACTTTTTGCGAAATGAAATAAAGAGAACACACTCTTCACACATAAAGTTTTTAGGGGTCTGGAGTGTCCATTGAATAAAAAATAACTATTGTGGGATTTCTGTGTCTTATAGAGAAGGCTGATGTTGGAAAAATTGTCAAAAGGCAGAGCTTAATCCGTCAGCTTGTGCCTTTTTCGCAGCAGCTGTCACTAGTGATGACTGTGAAGAACTGGCATCTGTAATGAGAAGTGTGAAGTTGTACAGAGAATCGTACGGTTTCCTCGGATCTTCCATAGAACTTTCTGCTTTTTACTTTCGACAATGCACGAGAAACCAACTGCGTTGGAGGCTCCTCGTGGGGTTAAGAGCTAAAAGAGACTGCTGATGAGAGCTTCATGAAAGTATATCTCTTTTTAGCCTATATATGCCTTGATTTTAAAATTATTTAATATTTTTGGATAAACGTTAAAAATATATATTTTTTAAAAATATAAAAAAAATAGCATAGAAAAACATTATAGCAAAATGTTAAATAATTTTACATTTTTATCCCAAACTATTAAATCATTTGTAAAGTGTGTCCAAAAATTGTAAATTGAGGTCATATTTCTTTTGTAGGGGTCTTTGCAAAATTTGTGATGGCACTACTTAAAGGAGCACTATAGTGCCAGGAAAAAAAGTTGTCTTCCTAGCACTATAGCTCCCTATAGTTCACCTCCCCCTGTGGTGCATAAAGGGTCCTACTTTGCTTATCCACATGTGCGTGCCAATGGCCATGCTCGTATTTGAATAGCCCTATGGGAAGGCATCATATAATGCTTTCCTATAAGGTTTCGGGTGACGCTGGATGTCCTGATGAATAGCGTTAGGATTTCCAGCGTCAGTTAGGCTACCAAAAGTCGCCAAACAGCCCGGAAGTCCCTCTAACGATTGTCTGGTAGAGTTAACCCATAAAGATAATTATTGCAGTTAATTTAAAACTGCAATAATTACCATTCCTGGGTTAGGAGACCCCTAGCTGAAGTGGTCTGGGTGCCTATAGTGTCCCTTTAAAAGCAAGGCCAAATATGTGAGGTTTTAGAAAATGATATCATGCATTTTTAAAATAAATATTTGATCTGCTTGATAGGGGTACGTATTAAATCAAATTTGTGAAACATCATCTTTAGTAACAGCACTGTATAAAGAGCTAATTATTTGGCCTGTTGGATGGCTAAAGGACGAGCGACGCATTGCTCAGAGAACCACGAACATTGTGTACAGTAATTCAGAATTAAAATACATCTAATGGACCCTCCACTTCGTTTTAAGTACTGCTGAACTACAGAAGAAAATCAGCACCATATGTTTGACTATATGCAGGTATGCTTGTTTGATAAGTTTAGTGTGAGATAATAAGTTGCCTTAGCTATTATCCCCATATGTTCCTAGCCACAGAATTGGGCTGTGATGGTAAATAAGCCATTTAATTGCCGTCGTAAGAATAGTCTGCTACATTAACCGTTATGAGGAGAAAAAAGGATCACAACAATTTAGCATTTCTTAATATGAGAAGGTCCATTGACTTGTATACTGCGGAAGATCTGAAATGTCATTTTAATGAATTATGAATAATATTGGCCAGTTATCGAGTTATTTATGAATACATTTTGTTTCAGCGAGCAGATTGCACATTGGCAATTTAGTAAAGAGACACAAAGAATATAGCTTCAGCGGCTTGCCTATAAAGTTATTTTAGAATGGGTGATATATATATATTTATTTGACTTTGTGTGGTGTATATTTATTAAAGGAACACTGAAGTGTTAGATATACATATCTGTATTCCTACTGTTAAAGCCCTCATGCCCCTTATTAAATCGGTCTCCCCTGTAGTGAGTAAAAAATAAACAAAATTAAATAAATTAAATTAAAAGAAATTACTCACCCTTCTCCAGTGCTGTGTATCACTCGGCGCTGTTACCTCCTCCTTTAATTATGTCATTTTGGAGGTAAATAAAATGTAAGTATATATTTAGCAGGAATTGGTGTTGAAGCAGTAGAAGAATAGAAGTGAAGAAAAGAGCTCGATATAACCTAAGTAATATTTATTAGCAAATGGTTTATTATAATAGGGATTATGTGCAGTTGGGGTGCTATATTGTCCTGAAAGTGACATGGGTCAGATAAATCAATAGGTGAAAAATTTTAATTAATTTTTTTTTTTTAATTGGTATGTCTGTAATATGTCTTTTTGGAATCATATTAGGGTACTCTTGGGCAGTAGCCAAAAACACATATAGGAACTTTATACTAGTGAGACCCACATGGTCTTGAAATTCCCAGTGAAAATGAGACATTAGTTTTAAAATCACAAAAGTTGTTGGTAAATTGGTTAAATAAAAAAAAAAAAGCCAAATTGCTCTTAGTTAAATACATTGGTTTAGTAACTAAAGTGAGAATTTAAAGTTAATTCTATTAGGAATGCGGCGTTGAGGCTCATCTTCCTGTCCGCCCGCACCTCCCACACCTCCCCCCTTTGTCAGTCCCTCCATTGGCTTCCCGTAAGATATAAGGCTCAATTTAAGATCCTGATACTTGCTTACAAATCTCTACACAATGCTGCTCCCACCTACTTATCCTCACTATTACACAAATATGTCCCGTGTAGGCCCCTACGCTCTGCCGGAGACCTACGTCTAACCTCTGTTCGTATTACCACCTTTGATGCGCACGTTAACCCCTTAGTGACTAGTGATGTACCAGGTACATCCGCCAAAAAACGGTCGTTAAAGACCGCGGACGTACCTGGTATGTCATTTAGTAGATCGGGACTTACCAGATCGCTGGCAATCCCCCGCCGTCGATCGCAATCCTGCGGTTTGCCTGGGAGCTCTTAGGTAGGCCCCCTAGTGGCTGAAAAAAGAGTTTTGAAAGTTTTAAAAAGTTATATTAAAGTTTATAAAGTACATAAAAAGTACTTAGATCATATTAATTATATATATATATATATATATATATATATATGATCTAAGTACTTTTACATGCACATAAACACACATACACCATTATTAAAAGTGTATTTTAATATTAATTAATTATATATATATATATATATAATTTAGAATATATTATAAAATAATTAAAGCATTTTATAACATATTATACATATATAATGCATATATATGATTTCATTATAAGTGTACTTTGAGATATATACACATATATCTCAAAATACACATAATGAAATCATATAAATGCATTATATATGTATAATATATTATAAAATGCTTTAACCGTTTAGTGTCCGCGGACGTACAGGGTATGTCAGCAAAAAAATGGTTGTTAACGACCGCTGACGTACCCTGTACATCCGCAGCCAAAATGAGCACTGGAAGCGATCTTGATCACTTCCAGCTGCTCTAAGGGTATTCCACGATGCCTCAATTTAGAGGCATCGTAGAATACCCTCCTACACTGCTGGGCACCCGAGTGAACGCTTCCCCGGAGCAATCAATTCCGGGTTGCTGCATGTGACGTCCGGCAGTGTATAGCAGAGCATCGGAAGCCTTCAGGCTCTGCCTGTACTGAGTGCCTCGAGGGGTCGAGGCACTCAGTAATAGTTTAAAAAAAATATATATAAAAAATGAATAAATAAAAAAATTAAACCCTCTACCCTCCCTCCCTCTTCCTCCTTATGTACTTAGTGATCGCCGCCGTTCCCCCACCGGCGATTGGTCTTTTTCTTCTTCTGAAGGGACTGTCTGGGCTGAGCCCAGACAGTCCCCCCTCTGCTCTGTAGGACCCCCAGGGGCCATGTGCTCGCTCTAAAAGAGGCTCCACAGTGCTGCCAGCAGGGTGACTGCCTGAACTGGTGAAGAAGTTTAAAAAAAGTTAATAAAAGTAAAAAATAAAAATGATTTTTTTTTTATCAATTTAAAAAAAATCTATATATAATATGTATATATATCTATATCTTATATATAACGTCATACTAAGTGTATTTTTTTATTAATAGTTACAGATATTGATATAAAATACACTTAGAGTAAAATTAGACATATATATTATATATAATAACTATATAGATTGTATATATTATATATATAGATATATATACAGTTAGAATAAAATTACATATATATATATATATATAATTTTTGTAATTTTCTACAATTATTTTTATAGTTTTTTATTTATTTTTAATCAATTATTATTTAATTTTTATAATTTTATATATATATATCTATATCTTATATATAACGTCATACTAAGTGTATTTTTTTATTAATAGTTACAGATATTGATATAAAAATACACTTAGAGTAAAATTAGACATATATATTATATATAATAACTATATAGATTGTATATATTATATATATAGATATATATATATATATAAAATTATAAAAATTAAATAATAATTGATTAAAAATAAATAAAAAACTATAAAAATAATTGTAGAAAATTACAAAAATGATATATATATGTAATTTTATTCTAACTGTATTTTGATACAGTTATATGTTATATTCTGCTGATCCCTTCACACAGATCAAAACTCCCAGACACACAGATCCAA